TTTGTTCTGTGGCTGCAGTAGAGTGGTGAGCTGGGCCTGGGGTGCCCTCACTGGTCTGCCACCCATCCAGGGTGATAGGGGCACCTAATCTGTAACAGCCGGGCACATGGTGTGGCCTCCTTCTCAGTGAGCCCTATGGCAGGGGCCCTAACTCCTTTGCCTTTGTGGCACTCTTCCAGGATTGGATCAATTCTGTTTTAAACCCCTTGCTGGACCACCACTGGCCGGAGGAGCCCCCCACTGAGCCCTTGGGGTGGCGTGTAACCTCCTACCTCTGGGCCTGTCCCCCACCCACATTCCAGCCTGTGTGGTTGGGACTCTAATAGGGGAGCCATCCCTGTTCTCTCTGCACCTGGCCTCTGCTTTGCCAGGTAGGCGGGGACCAAGGGCAGGAGAACTGAGAACCAGGGCTTGTGATCATCTCTGCAAATGGAGCACCTACCTGACAGAGGGAGCACTGAGGCTGAGAAAGCTTGGGTGGCTCACCGAGGCCACACAGCCAGTGTGGGATCTGAACCCAAATCTGTGAGATTCTAGATCCCCTTAACCACCTGTAATTTTGGCCAAGAATATATTGTGCAGGGAAGTCAAAAGGCATACAGGACACTGGCCAAAAAGTGTTTGCCACTGGACTCACAGAAGACTAATACACCTACTACAGAGGGTGCTATTAAATAATAAATAACAATTATGCTTTTGGCTTTCAGCTTGGAGGAGGTGAAGGTGCCACTTTCTTTGGTTGTCCCGAATCCAGGTTCACCCACACCAGCCGCCTCCACCATGCCACCAAGTGCAGCCCCAACGAGATCAGTCATTCACATGAGGAGCACTGGTGGCGAAGTCAGTGCCACATCTGCCCTGGACCCCAACATCCACCCCCTGGGCCTGTGTCCAAAAACTGGTTGGTGATGACGTCGCCAAAGCAACTGGTGATTGGAAGGGTCTGAGAATCACAGTGAAACTGACCATTCGGAACAGACAGGGCCAGACTGAGGCAGTGCCTTCTGCCTCGGCCCTGATCATCAAAGCCCTCAAAGAACCGCCATGAGACAGAAAGAAATAAGAAATCATTAAGCACAGTGGAAATATCACTCTTGATGACATCGTCAACATTGCCGGACGGATGCAGCACAGATCTTCAGCTAGAGAGCTTTCTGGAACCGTCAAAGAGCTCGGGGATGGCCCAGGCTGCGGGCTGCAGTGTCGATGGCTGCCGCACCCACGACATCATGGGTAACATGGACAGTGGTGCAGTGGGGTGCCCGGCCAGCTAAGATCAATAAAGGAAGATATTTCTATTAAAGATCATTTGACATTGCAAGCAACACTCTGTGGCAGGTGACCAAAACTGTCTGACACAATTTGAGTCTGCTACAGCAACAGAGTCTAACCTATTCCGGCGCTCTCTCCTCCATGGGACAAGCCATTATACAGACTTAGACAGTGTTCCAGAAAAAAAAAAAAGATCATTTGATAACCAAAAAAAAATTATAAAAAGTATATATAAATAGAATTATATTACACAATGTAGTTTGTTAAAATAAATTTTTATTAGACCTGGCTATCAGTCCTAGCTCAGTGGAGTGGATTGAGTGCTGGCCTTCAAACCAAAGGGCTGCTGGTTGGATTCCCAGTCAGGCCACATGCCTGGGTTGCAGGCCGGGTCCTCAGTAGGGGGCGTGCGAGAGTCAGCCACGTGTTGTTTGTCTCCCTCTTTCCCCTTTCCTTCCCCTCTATATAAAAACAAATAAACAAAATCTTTTAAAAATAAAATGTATATATTTTAAAAATATATAATGGAATATAGTTATAATTAAAATATGAAGAGCACCAAAAATCAATAAGAAAGAAACAATCCTAGTATATAAAAATGGGTAAAGGAGATGAGCAGTTCACAGCAAAGAAACACAAAGGAATCTCGAAGGTACGGGAACACCTTCACCTTCATTCATTATATTAGAAATACGAGCAAACTTTCTCAAGGATACCATTTTTTCAACCTACGGGTTGTGCACAAGCCATGGTGTTTGAGAACTCTGTGCGTGTCCACCTCAGCGGGCAGGTAACTGGGACGCCTCCGGCAAAGGTGGGTCTTGGGCATCAGAGCTAATAGCACCACCCTGCGGGTTTGCCTCCCCTGTCACTTTGCATTGTGCAGATGACAAGGGTACAAAGATTGTTCCTGCCATATGCCTAGAAGGAAAGAGACTGAAAACAACCCAGTGTCCTCAGGAGGAGACCACAAAATGCACGAAGTCTGGTTCAGCCAGGTGGGGAATATTATGCAGCTTTGTAGAAGGTGGGGGCACCCTGCTCACTGACCCTAGGGGCCTTTACAAGACAGCGGGAGCACAAAAGACCCTAGGGCAGAGTGATGTGTGAGGGGCGCATGCTCATTTGCCCGTCGGAGTACCGAGCGGTCCAAGAGAATCGGTCAGTTTACTTGGGTGTGAAGAGACAGGGATGCGAGAGACTGTCCAGTCTTTGCAGGGGGAGCTTTTTATACATCTTTTAGATGGTTGAACCATGTGAGGGTGGAATTTAAATGTAAAAATTAATACCAAGTTGAAGAAGAGCAGTACACCTGTTTGTTCCAGAGGGAGCCCATGAATGGGTGCCACACTGCATTTTAGGGGGACATCAGTGTTGCTGATCTGAGTTGCTAGAGGCAGCCCCTCAATCATGGAATGGGCCACAGATCACCTGGCGTTCCAGGCATGTAGAAAGGCGTATGTGCCACAGCCCACAAAGGCCTTGGACCCTTGGACAGTACAAGGGGGCTGCAGCTGCACTCCGGACTGCATGGTATGAGGGTCTGTGGGACCCCACTGTCCCCTGCCCCAGGTGTGGGTGATCCCAAAGCTACCCACTGCCCCCTAGAAGCCCCTGACGCTCACCTAGACTGACAGGCCACCATGGTTATTTGCATTGCCACTAAACCACTTTACACATGGGGGGACTGAGGCCCAGAGGGGAATGTCAGTGGCTCAGGAAACTAAATCAGTCCAGGGGCCCTGACCAGAGCTTAAAGACATGGAGCCGCTGCTTGTTCATGGTTCAGACAGGAAACCAACCAAAGGGGTTGGGGTCCAAGAGCATATGCTCTCCCAGCTTGGAGGCCCCCAATACTCAAAAAAGGGTATTTTCCTTCTTTTAAAAGATTTTATTTATTTATTTTTAGAAAGGAAGGGAAGGAGAGAAATATCAATGTATAGTTGCCTCTCGTGAGTCCCCTGCTGGGAACTGGCCTGCAACCCAGGCATGTGCCCTGACTGGGCGAATATTTTCCTTTTTTAAGGAGAGGAGAGGAAAACGACAGAGAGAGACGAAGACGCTGAAGCTGGACATCCCACCCCCTCCCTCCTCCTCCACCGCAGGGTCCCAGTGACTCAATAAACCTGGCTTCCCTCCCCTGAGGCCGTTGCCTGTTATGCCACCCACAGTTGGAGTGGGAAGGGGCCAGGAAACAGCTTCCAGCCCCTACTTCCCCTCCACCTGCCAGCTGAACCCTCAGAGGCTCCAGGGTGTTCCCTCCTACTACACCCCCAGGCTCTCCACAGCCCCCAGCTCTCGCCCTAGCCAGCAGCCTTCCCATCCCAGCATCCCGCTTCCCTCCGCCTCCAGGCAGCCCCACCCCAGCAATCACCTGCCTGCCCCCCAGGCCTCCCTGTGACGCACACGTGGAGCAGAGTGCTCGGAGAGGAGGACCCCAGATCTTCCAGGGGAGCTCCCCCTTAGCGAGTGAGTTATCTAGCAGGGTTTGTGTGTGTGAGTTTCTTTATCTTTTTTGGTTAAAGCTTTGTTGAAATATACTTTATGAACTATACAACTCGCCTATTCAACAATTCAGTGGCATTCCCAATGTTGTGTAATCACCACCTCTATGTAGTTCCGGAACATTCCATCACCCCCAAAAGAAACCCCCATCCCCATCAGCAGTCACTCCCCAAACCCCTCCCCCAGCTCCTCACGACGAACCACTAATCCATTTCCTGTCTCTGGAGTTGCCTTTTCTGGACATTTCACATAAATGGAATTAAACAGTGTTTGTCCTTTTGTGTCTGGCTTCTCTCACTGAGCATCGCGTTTCCAGGGCTCGTCCACATTGCAGCAAGTGTCAGCGCCCCATTCCTTCAACCCCTGGGTCAGGGGAGTCCACAGGCCCCAGGACACTCCATGTTCAGTAACCCTCTGCCTACGGAGGTCCTGGGAGGCTGCACACATTTGAACACACAGCCTGAGTGGGACAGAGTGGGGAGGGGACGCACAGATGCTGGGGCCACCTGGTCTTTTCTAACCACTGGGATTTACTCTGGCATCTACCGTGAGCAGAGAGTGAGCTCCGATTTTCCCCAGACAATCACCCAGGGCTTCTCCACTCTCTCCTGGGGTCAGAGGAGCAGACCAACTCCATGGGGAGTCATCCCGGGCATTATGGGGGCGTTGAGGATGTCCTTTGCCCCACACACTCCATACCAGAAGCATCCCCGCTCCTGATAACCACAGGTGTCCCCAGACAGTGTCCCCTGGGGGAACAATGACCTGGGTAAGAACAATGAATCCTGATGGGTCTCAGAAGGGCACATGGCTCTGTGGCCCCCACTCCTTTTCTCTGTCCTTTCCTGCCCCCATGACTGAGGCTCACTCACCCCAGCACTTGGACAAACTGGCCACAGTCCACTGGCTCAGGCCATGGGGACCCCATGGGGAGAGTCACAGAGAGCGGCGTGTGCCCCTCTGAGGGCTGTGTCATACTGCCCCTTGTCCAGGAGACCCAGCTATGGGATGGGCCGGGGGCAGCTTCTCACACCCTCGGGGGAGCTGGAACTGTGAGCCTAACACTCCCCGTCTTCCTGGAGTGTGGTTCAACACCCTCAACTCCCTGTGCACCCAGAGTTGAGAGGAGGAAGTGAGGACGCCCAGTCCTCGTGTGGGGAAACCTCAACGACCTCTGGGCATTGGGCTATAAGAAGTGGTGGGCAGGCGAGGGAACCCTGAGCTCCCACCCGACCATGACCTGCAGCCACCAGCACTGCGGCCCTGCCCTGGCCCGCATCTTGCTGGCCATGCTGCTGGGCGGTGAGTGGGCACACGTTCTTTCGCCCATCTATCCAGGCCCCACTCATTCTGAGGAATATCTACCCACAACGGCGAGCCCAGCACCCTCACTGCACAGATAGGAAGACTGAAGCATGACCAGGGCAGGACCCATCTGCTGCTTAGGATGAATGCCTCAGAGGGAGGGAGGGGAAGCTCTGGGACACTCAACTCAGTTTCTCCATCTGTGAAACGGACAAAATCTACTGCTTCTCTCCCAGGGAGGTGGGTGGGGATGGGCACAGCAGGGACGTGTGACTACCACTGATGACTGATGTTCCTCATCCTCAGGTGCGGCGTGGGCTTCAGAGATTGTGGGTGGGCAGGAAGCCCAGCCTCACTCACGGCCCTACATGGCATCACTGCAGATGGTGGACGAACACTTCTGCGGGGGCACCTTGATCCACCCGAGGTTTGTGCTGACCGCGGCTCACTGCCTAGAAAACATGTGAGTACCCAGTGGACCTGCCCCAGGTCTGAGGGGACTGTCACCAAGGAAGCTGAGCTCTGGGCCTCAGGACGCCCATAAGGGATCAAGTGATGAGTGTCCTGCCCTGACCCCGCAGACCCCAGACCTTGGTGAATGTGGTGCTCGGGGCCCACAACTTGAGGACCGTTGAGCCCAGCCAACAGCGGTTCAAGATCACTAGTCAGTTCTCAAACAACTATAACCCGGCGCAGAAGCTCAATGACATCCTCCTCCTGCAGGTGGGTAGGTGGGGCCCTCAGGATCTGTAGGACCCCTTTGTTCATCTTCAGCAAGCATGCATTGAGCACCTACTGTATGCCAGGCACGTGCTGGGACATAGCCTGGTATATAGTAGGCCTGATGAGGAGAGAACCATTCAGACAATAACCCCACAAAGGGTTGCCCCACCTGCCTCCAGGCCTTTGCCCTGGCCATGCTCCCCCTGCCTGGCACCCTCTGACATCCTCGCCCCCAACTTCAGCACCCACTTCGCCCCAGCAAGAGCTCCCCTCACCCTAGTGGAAAGACAGCCCTCCCCTCCTGATGTACAGTTCTCCATCTTAGCATTTCCGTTGGTTTTAAGTCTGTTGTGCTCCTTCTGGCTTCTCCGCCTCCCACGATGATCACCCTGAGGACAGAGGTAGTATCCTGAGGGCTTAGCAGAAGGCCAGGTACACAGTTAGCACTCAATAAGTGCTTTGTAAGCAAATAAATGCCACAGTGACAAAGGCTGCAGAGGGGAGGTCCATGATGTCAGAGAATGTAAAACTGAGCTCTAGTGGGGTTTGGAGGGTCAATCAGAGCAGGCTCCCTGGAGGAGGTGACCCCTGTGGTCGAACCAGAGAGTGAGTGGGAGGCGCCAGGCAGAGGGAACAGTATGTACAAAGGCCCCAGGGGAGGCACTTTGGGGTGGTCAGGCATGAGCAAATGTGAAAAGGTGGTGGCAATGGGATCTGGAGACAGGTTCTCACCTCTTACACACCCTCACTTTGCTCCAGCTGGACCGCCCTGCCAACCTCAGTGCTCAGGTTGCAGTTGCCCAGCTCCCTGAGCAGGACCAGCTGGTGCCCCACGGCACCCAGTGCTTGGCCATGGGCTGGGGCCGCCTGGGCACCCGCGCACCGTTGCCCCAGACTCTGCAGGAGCTGAACGTCACCGTGGTCACCTTCCTGTGTCGGCCACACAATGTGTGCACCTTTGTGCCCCGTCGAAAAGCTGGCATCTGCTTTGTACGTATCTGCCTGGCTCCCAGTGCCCTGAACCAAGTTCACACGGCTGGAGGGACCTCCTGAAAGGCTGGGGCTACTCTGGAGCAGAGAAAAGGCTTCAGAAACTGCCCACAGGAGGGAGGGTGGGCAGGTGGCCGGAATGCAAACCCACCCCCTCCTCACTGAGCTGTGCAGGCTGTGCCTTACTGCCCATCTGGAGGAGAAGCCCCCCATCAGGGGGCTCAGCAGAGCAGCCTCCCCTCCTGCAGGTATGGGGGAGGCGGCAGGGGGCGCTCAGGTCACACCTGTGGCCTTCGTGGGTCTAGGAACTTTTCCACCCTGGGGCCCCCTTTTGGACCCTGGGGAAGTGAGGGCGACTAGCCCAGCCTTGTTCCAGGGGTCCAGGGACATGACCCGAGGCCAATAAATGCTCACTTTCCTTTGGAGTGGCCTCCCTCTATCACCCACTCGTCCACATGTCGAACTGGAAGCGTTCTTCCACTAGCCACACTTTCCCTGACGTGGCCGCACCCAGGGAGAGCGACCAATTTGTCCTCACTCTTCCCAGGGAGACTCTGGCGGCCCATTGATCTGCGACGGTGTCCTCCAGGCCGTGGACTCCTTCCTGATCCGGGAATGTGCCACGGGCCTGTTCCCTGACTTCTTCGCTCGTGTGGCCCTCTACGTGGACTGGATCCAGTCTGTGCTGAGAAGTGTCGGGGAGCAGGGCCCCCCCTGAGCCACTCGCTCCAGATGGCCCTCTCAGGAGCCAGGGCCAGAGAACAGGCGCTAACTGGGGGCAGGGGGCAATGCCCAGCCTCACAGTGACATGAATAAAGATCGAAACCCTCCTTTGGCTCCTGTCTGTCCTTCCCATGTGGGGGGATGTGGGGGACAGCAGCCAAGGGCCCCCAGCACCCAAGTGCCCAGGCCCCAGACTCTGCTCAGGGATTTGGAGCAGAAGCCGGGAAGCTGGTGGGGGGCCCGGGTCACAGTATGTCCCATTCCCCCAATGCCTGTAGATGTGGGTTCTAATCCAGCCCTGCTGGTGCGGCCCTGGGCAAGTTGATGCCCATCTCTGTGTCTCAATTTCTTCGTTTGGAAAAGGGAGCCACCACAGACGGTTCCCAGAACCGATCAAAGAGCCCCACCCTGGTCCTCAGGGGTGGGGGTGTCGCGTCTGGCTCTCTGTCTCCGGCTCGGGGGCTTCTGGAGGACCAGGCTGTCACAACTGGGAGTGCCCAGAGCCTGTGGGGCTTCTGACGCAGTCAAGGGCAGGCAGGATGGCTATTAGGAAGGCTTCCTGGGGGAGGTGGCAATGCCTGACCAGGAATGTGAGGAGAAGAGCCCCGGGCAGAGGCACATCAAGTGAAGGGGAACAGGAAGGCGTGCAGTGTGGCTGGAATGGAGAGTCAGTGGGTAGAGGAGGAAAGTTCAGGGACGTGGTGGACCCACAGGCCCACAGACAGGAACTGCGTGGGCTCAGAGGAAAGGCCCGAGGCCAGGAGGAGGTAGAGGTCACTGGCCAGTGGGTGAGTAGCCATGGGAGTGAGGCTCTGAAGGAGGTCCCAGCTGCTCACGGGACAAACCAGAGCTGGAAGGCAGCTCTTTCCTTCTCGGTTTGTTCTGCCACCACCTGGCTCAGTGTACAAATTCGAGCAAGAGTGAGAACTCTCGGGCCTGCGCCCTTTTGCGTCTCTTTTACACCTCGTCCCTGGGGCAATGTTACCAGGAACAAATGTGTGCTGGGACAGGGGACATGGCTGGGTCCTGGGAAACGTACATTGATGGGTGTCGGGGACCCGCTGCGGACTCCCTGCATTTCCCACCGCCCAAGGTGAGGAAGCGGTTTCTAAAAAAGCCCCACAGCATCAGGAGTAAAGAAAGGTTTGCTAGAGGGAATGTTGGGAACAGAAAGACCCAACAAACACAGCCAGGGGCGTTTTCTGTTTTCCATGGGCTTGTGGGTGCGATGACTCAGGGAGGCGCCTCCCAGCAAAGATCAGACCCAAGGTGGGGGTTGAGGATGGGGGCTGGGGTGGATCCAGGAAATGACATACCCGTGGGAATAACAAGCAGGGTGATCAGCAATTTGGGAGGCCTGTGGGGTGGTGAGGGGCTCCCCGGGAAGCCCCAGGGAGGGGCGTTTATGCTGCTGGGACCACTCTTTACAGCTCAGGGGTCCCCGGACTCCAGGGGTAGGGAGATACCCAAGTCATTGTTTCCTCCTTGGGGTGTAACTCGGGTCTATAAAGTATGAACATCTTGCTTGGAAGACTCGTAACGATATCGCCAGTGTCACCGGTACTCTGATTGCAAATTATAAACCTAGTGTTTGCCTCCCAGCCTATACCCGCCAGGCAAGTACCACCCTGCCCTGCTGGAGGCGATTAATGGTTAATAAGCCCTCCAGGACACCACTTTCTAATCTAAAAACTTTACAAATTCATTCAACCCTTGGGACAATCCTATGCAATGGAGCCTATTATTATAACTTCCCTTGTACAGATGAGGAAACTGAGGCACAGATGGGTTAAGTCAGTGGTCTGAAATTATGTAGTGGGCAAGTGACCAAGCCAGAATGAACCCAGAGTTGATATGCTTGACCATTATGAGATGTGTGAACGTAGTATATATACAGGTGGTGCTCAATAAATGCAGATTTGGTTAAATGGGGTCTTCCTGCCTGAGCCAGCCCCCACCCCCAAGACATAGCTTTTTCCACTCTCTCATCTCCAGATTGGAAACAGGGCTGTCTATGCAGTAGGTGATTACTAAGTGCTTTATGATCAATTTAATGCAATGGGGGGAGACCCTGCCAAGGAGGGAGAGGAGCAGGATTGGCTGATGTGCATCTGATGAAGGATAGATGAAGGGCAGACACTGAGCACCTGCTATGTGCCAGGCTCTGGGGGAGCAGAGCCATCATCCCCACTGATGAGGTATGGGGGCCTGCTTTCCCATGGACGCATGTGGAAGGCAGCGTGGGGACACACGGGGCTCCAGCCCCAGCTCTGGGTGTGCTCAGCGCCCACACCACTTGTTCCTGCAGATGGATTCGTTGGTTCCCTCCCCTGAGCCCTGCTCCAGGTCACGAAAACGTTGCTTCTTGCAACAGCCTTGGCTAGAGCCGTTGCAGCTGGAACATTCTGGGGGAGGTGGGAAGAGGAACAGGGCCATGGGGTGGGGGGCTGGGCCCTGGGGGCCCCTTTTCCATTGTTTTGGTCTGAGTTCTTCCACAGCCTCAGGCAGAAGCTTCAGCGGACGTCCATGGTCCAGCCCCTAGGTCTGGCAGGATTCCTTTCCCAGGCCAGAAAGGGGTCCTGCAAAGCTCAAGGGGGCAGGGGAGTGAGAGGAGCTCTTCCCCAGAATCTTTGCTGGGGACCACAGACTCATGAGAACCCAGGCGGGAATGTGTTCCTCACTGTGAGCAATGACAAAAGGGGCATTGGAAGGCTAGGCCTGGAGAGGGAGACCCAAGACTTAGGGAGGAGGGCAACAAATCACCAGCCAGCTGTGAATTGTGGGGCCTGAGTTTAAACCTCCACTTGCTCACCATGCCACCGGCTAGGAACTCACGGGGGAGGCCTCGTTGTGCCTCAGTGTCCTCATCTCAAATGGAGATCCAGCCCTGGCTGGGCGACTCCGTTGGTTTGGCATCATCTCGTACACCAGAAGGTTGTGGGTTCGGTCCCCAGTTGGTGTGGGTACAAGAGGCAACCGATTGATGTTTCTCTCACATCAATGTTTCTCTCTCTCCTTCTTCATCTCTCTCTAAAAAATGAATAAACATGTCCTCAAGTGAGGGTTTAGAAAGATCAGATAAGGGCTTAGCAGGCCTCCAATCCCCCCTGTAAAATGTCAGGACAGCTCTGGGTGCACTGTCATTATTATAGTACCCTGAGTAAACTAAGGCGTGTGGGGGGACCCAGCTGACATTCTTCGGGCCTAGGGTTGCCAGATTTAGCAAAAATACAAGATACACAGTCAGATAAATGATGACTAACTTTCTAGATAAGTACAACACTGGGGACATGGTTATACTAAAAAAAAACAAGACAAAACCTCATAGACACAGAAATCAGTATGGTGGTTACCAGAGGGAAAGGGGCTGTGGTGCACCAAAAGATAAAGGGGTTCAAGTACATGGTGATGGAAGAAGATTTGACTTTGGGTGGTGGGAACACAATGCAATATACAGAGGATGTATCATAGAACTGTACACTTGAAACATATAATTTTATTAACCAATGTCACCCCAATATATTTAACTAAAAAATAAAAAAATATTGTTTATCTGACTTTCAAATTCGTGTCCCGAATTTTACCTGGAGCCAGTCCAGGCCCCAGCACATACCACCCCCTCTCACTGCCCACTGTTCCTCCCATCATCACCCTCATCCATCCCTAGGGGTGGAGAGAGGAAGTGGGGACACCTAGCCCCTCCATGGGGCAATGCAACGGTCCCCAGGCTTCAAGCTATAAGAAGGCCAGGTAGGCACAGGGGACAGAGACACCGGAGCCCCCGCCTCACCATGGCCCAAAGCTGCAGACCCTCTGGCCCTGCCCTTGCCTCCATCCTGCTGACCCTGCTTCTGGGTGGTGAGTGGCTCCACGTGTCTGCCCGTCGGTCTGTTCCTGGGAACCCGTTCCTGCCTCTTGACTGTGCCTTTGACCCAAGTGGCCCCCTTATCCTCATGGAGGGGGCAGCCGGGATAGGTAGACCCACTTTCAGGGGAGAAGACTGACGTCCAGAGTGGTGAGGAGCCCAGAGCCCAGAGTGGCTCAGGAGGTGAGGTCACTGGGCATGCTCTGGGAACTGCAAAGCCAAGTTAGGTCCAGATACAGCTGTGCCCTGACAGGGGCATTGCAGGCCCCCCTTTCCTTTCTGTGCCTCAGCTGGCAAAAAGCATGTGAAGAGCCCCTTGACCCATGGGTTCTTGGTGGGGGTTCAAGGGCTAACCAGCCTGGTGGGGTGGGCCTGCTCCATGGCACTCACCAACCCCACCCGTGAATGTCCCCAGGCTCCGTGCTGGCCTCTGAGATCGTGGGTGGCCGGCAGGCCAGGCCCCATGCATGGCCCTTCATGGTGTCCCTACAGCAGCGCGGAGCCCACTTCTGTGGTGGCACGCTAGTGGCCCAGAACTTTGTCATGTCGGCCGCCCACTGTGTGAATAACATGTAAGTGACTCCCAAGCACACCTTTTCTCTTCAGGCCCTCTGTTTCCACGTCTGTCAAAGCTGGGTGGGGAGCTAGGGGTCGGGGAGTGAGACCAGGGCCTGGACTCCTCCAGGGAGCCCCCATTAATTCATCTTCTCCACTAGGCCTGAGTGGAGGCATTCAGCCAAGGGGCCCAAGGCTCTGTCCCAGAGGTTGAGGCACCTCATGAACATGGGGCGAGGTTCGGCTGAGCTCTGGAGTCTCTCTGCCACCCTCAAAGTGCAGAGCCACCCCGAATCACCTGCACCCACTTTGTCACAGGGATTTCCAGACGGTGCAGGTGGTACTAGGCGCACACAACCTAAGGAGGTCTGAGCGCACCCGGCAGGTGTTCAGCATCCAGCAAGTCTTTGAAAACGGCTTTGTACCCCAGAGGCTGCAGAATGACATAGTGATTCTACAGGTGCAGGGCTGGCTGGGCAGAGGAGGGACACTCCGGGGGTGGGGAAGGGATGCCCAAGCAGGTGCAAAGGCCCAGGGGTCTGAGGCTTGCAGAGGGCAAGGAAGAGGCTATAGACTGGGGGTGTATCTGGCTCTAACTGGGCAGGTCATCTCCGCACTTCAGTGGCCAGCTGTGTAAACTAGAGAATGAAGTCCCACCTGTCAGAGCTGTGCAGCGAGGGAACACAAAGATGCAGAGAGATCTGAACAGCTGTCCGCCAGCAGACTGTTGTGACTCTTTGTGTCTTTGTGGAACGGGGCAAACTTCCGCACATTCGGACTGCTAGGAGACCGGAGGGAGAAACCTTCCCTTCCCACTGTGCATGGAGTCACAATTATTCTCTGCAGTATCCTAGAACAAGGGTTTTGTTGCCCTTGGTGTTGCTCACAGCTTGGTGTATCGGGTCCCTACTGCTTACTACACTCAAGACATGCCCAGGGTCGCCCACAGCCACTTGCTCCTACTTCACAGATGGGGAAACTGAGGCTCAGGATGGGGAACATCTTAGAGGGTGGGCATCCTACTCCATAGATCCCAGAACCACAGTGGGGCCTCAGATGGGGAAACAGACCTGGAGAGGGGACAGCCACGCGTGACTCTTTGGTGTTCTCCCTTGCCCACCACAGCTCAACGGGTCAGCAACCATCAATAACAACGTGCAGGTGGCCAGGCTGCCTGAGCAGGGCCAAGGCGTGGCCAATGGGGTGCAGTGCGTGGCCATGGGGTGGGGCAGGCTGGGCACGAACCAGGCAACAGCCACAGTCCTGCAGGAGCTCAACGTGACCGTGGTGTCTTTCCTCTGCCGCCCCACAAACGTGTGCACACTGGTGCGACGCCAGCGGGCCGGCATCTGCTTTGTAAGTAACTGCAACCCCCTTCTCAGTCCCCGCCCCACCCCCACATGGGCTGCAGCAACTGGGACTGCAAGCCAGACTCCAGGGAGGACTTCACAACGCTGAAAGGAGGTGGATGGGAAGCATAGCTTGCTAACCTTACCTGGTTCTTTGTGCAGGGGGACTCCGGTGGGCCACTGATCTGCAACGGACTGATCCATGGGATCGACTCCTTCATCAGGGGAGGCTGTGGCTCTGGCTACTTCCCAGATTCCTTTACCGCTGTGGCACAGTTCGCAGGCTGGATCAACTCCATCATCCGCCGCCACAGTGACCACCCTCAACTCCACCCCAGGGACCCTGCAAGTAGGACCTTCTAGAAAGGACTGCCCTGGTCACCCTACCTCACCTGCCCCTCACCAGGTCCATCCCACAGCATCTGGCACAATAAACACCCTCTCTGTTTTGTAGAAAGTGTCTGGGTGTTTGTTGGCTGTGCAACTGAAGATTGAATATAGTCAGGACAGTGTCTTGGACATCTCACCAGTACAATGCCACCAGGTGGCAGCAAAACCAGACCATTGGGGTAAGAAGCTTCTTCCCCACCTGCCATAAAGGGATGCCAGTTGCCACTTCTGGTTTCCCTCCTGTAAAACCTACTTTCACGTGATGACAAAGCACTGCAGCAGGTGTTTGCTGAGCACTGACCAGGTGGACGAATCATTCTCGGTCTTTGCTTGCGTTGGAGCCCTCCTTGGCCCCTGAGACAGACCCCACCAGTGCGGTCTTACAGATGAGAAAGTGGGGGTGCCGAGAGGTGAAGCCATTCTCAGGAGCCTGGGTTTGAGTCCCAGCTCTGACTTGTGGCAACTGGGTCGTCGTTTCTGAACTGTGTCCCTGTGGGGAGGAGTGAGCTGCTGTCTAGGACAGGTGCAACCAGGGATTGGGGTGTCACTAGGGGACAGAGACAAGCCCTCCCCCACCTCTCCATCCTTTTTGCTCTGACAAAGGAGGGGGGAGAAAAGCAAATGATCGCAAAGGCATCCCCCAGTCCTGGTGGAAGTTGCTGTTCTGGGGCACGTCACCCATTTGCACCCCTCTTCTGCCTTTCTGGGCCCGGGCAGGGGCCCTCTGGGGCCATGGGTGGGGACCTCAGCAGACAGGGCTTCTGCCATCATGCAGCTTATAGTCTGACAGTGGGGGAGGAAAACAGGCACCTAAGCCAGAAGATGAACTAGAGCAGTAACAGCAGTAATGACGCCCACCACACACACCACAAGTGTGGAGTAAATCTCCTTCCCTGTCTATCCTCCAGCCCCAGATACCCTCCCTCTGGATTTCAGTCACCTGGGTCCCCTCAGGGCCTTTTCCTTGGCTTTTTCTTCTGCCTGCTCGTTCTTCCTGCAGGCTGTCCCCTTATCCGGCCTTCCCCCGAGTCCCACCTGCTCAGAAATGTGACCATCTTTTTTCACTTAATACTATACCCAGGGGTCTTTCCACATGTTCACGACATGTGGGGATGTTCGGGGTTATTTATTGAACCGCCCCATTGTTCTAAGTCATTTCCAAATTATGTTGCAATTTTGAACACTCTTACATAATCTGGATTCCATATCCTCATGGGCTTTTATTCAGAACTTCTGATTTTAATAAGGAAACATGTTAGGATCTAACTGATCACATTTATTTTCTATTCAATATATATTAAATAATCTGCTGTGAGGAGAAAAAAAAAGGAGGGGAAAGTGCTGAACACTGTTCCCACTGGGGAGGTCCAAGGTCTGCCCCATCCTTCTGGTTCCAGCACCTGCCCCCACAGGTTCATGAGATGCTGACCCACCATTTCCACCTTACGGAGGGCCATGTGACCCAGGTTCTTCTCCTCAGAACCTGCCATCCCCTGGCATGATGGTTTGAGACAGAGAAGGTGATCCAAGCTCAGCCAATCAGAAGCAGCCTAGAGACATTGACTAGAGTGATAGGGAATTGGGAGAAGAGCCCATTGAGCCACTGGGCTGAATCTGGGGTTCCTGGACCATCACAGGGGATACTGCTGAGTACAGAAGCCATCAAGGAGGAAGGGGGAAACCAGAGGCAGAGACCTAGCATTGTTCAAGGTGCCTGGATCAAGCCATACCTGAAGGCAGAAACTAAACTTTCCGTTTAAATTTTCTTATTGCAGATGCAGTCTTTCTAGTTGTCCCTACACACCACATTTTCAACATTCTACTTGTTGGGGTGTCAGGCCCCAGAGCCATGGCAATGGGGACAAAGGTATAGGGTGATCTCCCCACCCCCATCCAATTTCCTCTCCAAGTTGGAAGAGAAAGGCAATGAAGGGAAGTGTAGAAAAGGAGGAAGTAGGTTGTTTATAAACTAGCCTCCAGCTGCTATTGCGAAACTTGAGAGCTGGAAAGACACTCTTGTGAGGCTGGGCTGGGGGGGCTGGGGTGGGTCCCTCTGCTCTGCTCTGGCATTCTGAGGGGCTGCTCCCCACATCAAGGCCAGCCCTGGGCCAGGTACAGAGAGTCAGGAGGCACCCCTCCCAGTGCAAAGTCCAGCAGGAGATAACCCCACCCGGAGGAGAGGGGAAGCAGAGGAGCAGGCTCTCCTTCACCCACCTGGGCGACTGCCCATTGGGCAGATCAGGACTGTTGGAGCCGCCCATCTTCCACTCTCATAAGAGCACCCCAGGCCCCGCCTGGGGCAGTGTTGCAGCCACAGCGGCATCATGGTGGACCTCTCAGTGCACCCTGCAGCTCTGATCCTTCTAGGAGTGGCCCTATGTGGTGAGAGTGGACCTGAGACTGGGGTGACAGCAGGGGCCACCAGCCTGCAGGGCAGTCAGCCAGGAGTCCCCCACCCCCCCATCAAACAGGACTGTCTCCCAGTCCTACTATGTGGGCAGACATGGGGCAGTGTCCAGATGAATGAAAGGATCTGAAAGTTCAGGAATTCTCAGAACTTGGATCTGGAATGTGAGCTTTCCTCACAGTGAGAACATGCAGTCCTGCAGTGTGGGTGACCTACGGGTATAGGGTGGCTCGCATGTTCAGCAGCTGGCAGGAATGTTGGTTTGTCTGCCCCACTTTTCTTGTTTAAATCAAAGCCATCAGGCTCAGGCATCTGAGTTCCTGAGTTTGTGACCCTGGGGTGTGGGGCTCCAGTGATGGAATTCCTGGTCTGAGGGGAACTGGAGTGGTGGAGCGGGGCAGGGGTCCGGCAGTGCAGGGGGCCTCTGATGGCTGGGCTGCAGTCATCTGGGGAGTCCTCACACCGTCCTGCCCGATACCTAGTGGCGCAGCCCCGTGGCCGGATCCTGGGTGGCAGCCAGGCCAAGCCCCACCAGCGGCCCTACATGGCCTCCGTGCAGGTGAATGGCACACACGTGTGCGGAGGCTTCCTGGTGTCGGAGCAGTGGGTGCTGAGTGCGGCGCACTGCCTGGAGCATGTGTGAGTGGCGGTGGGAAACAGCAGGGAACGGGGTGGGGTGGGGGCGACATTTACCTGACGTGGACCCTGCCCCACACCCAGGAACACCAATGAGACCTTGGTGCAGGTGCTCCTGGGCGCACACTCGCTGTCACAACCTGAGCCCTCGAAGCAGCTGTACGACGTGCTCCGAGCAGTGCCCCACCCAGACAGCGGGCCGGATACCATCGACCACGACCTCCTTCTGCTGCAGGTCTGCCAATTCCGGCCTCAGTCGCTCCTGCTGCATGCCCCCCACCATCCCGCACCTCCTAACCCTGATCCCCGCCTCGCCCAACCCCATCCCACTGAGCCTAGCCACAGTACTTCCTGCTATATGCCCTCCTGCGACCTTGATACCCGCCTCCCTCCACCCCCAGCTCTCTGAGAACGCCACTCTGGGTCCTGCCGTGAAGCCCCTGCCCTGGCAGCAGGAGGACCGCGATGTGGCAGCTGGCACGCTGTGCGAAGTGGCTGGCTGGGGCGTGATCAATCACTCGGGCCGCAAGCCCGACCTCCTGCAGTACTTGCTCCTGCCGGTGATCGACCGTGCCACCTGCAACCTGCGCAAGTACCACGACGGCACTGTCACTGAGCGAATGATGTGTGCTGAGAGCAAACGAAACAAGGACAGCTGCAAGGTGTGGGGTGGAGCAGGGGGAGGGGCATTGGAGTGTCGGGTGGGAGCGCAGGGCCAACAGAACAGAACTGAGAGCTGGGAAGCAGGGCCTATGGTAGGTGGGGCTTGCAGCAGTGGGTAGGCCCTGGGGAGATTGACATTCGAGGAAGCAGGTTTGAACTGGAAGGGGGAGCGGGAACTGGAGGAGTGTCCCGCTTTGCAGTGGGACACCAAAGGCGTGATTTGGAGTGGGGGGGGGGAGGAAAGGAGGGGCTGTGGAGTGGGAGTGCAACCACCTCACAGCGCTGTCCACATAGGGCGACTCTGGGGGTCCGCTGGTGTGCAATGGCGTGGCGGAGGGCGTGGTCACCTCGGGATCCCGTGTGTGTGGCAACCCCAAGCAGCCCGGCATCTACACTCGTGTAGGGAGCTACACTGCCTGGATCAACAGCGTGATGGCTGGGGGCGTGGCCACCTGGGAAAAACCTGGAGGGCCAGGTCCCAAGGAGCAATGAAGTCACTGACTCCTACATCTGGTCAGACATCACTTTTATTTTATTCCCTTTCCATTGTGTTTATTCATTTGCTTTTGTTTTAAGACTCCACTTATAAGTGAAACCATGTGATATTTCTCTGACTTATTTTACTTAAAATAAGACCCTTTAGTTCCATCCATGTTGTTGTAATAAATTTCATTCTTTCTCATGGCTGAGTAATATTCCAGAGTGTATAGGTACCACATTTCCCTTATCTATTCGTCTCTCGTTGGACACCTAGGCTGTTCGCATGTCTTGGCTATTGTACAGAACACTGCAGTGAACATAGAAATGCAAAAGTCCTCGGTTAAATACCCAGAAGTGGAATTGCTGGATCATAGGGAAGCTCTATTTTTAATTATTTGAGGGACCTCCACACTGTTTTCCATAGTGGCTGCATCAATTTACAACCCCACCAAAAATACATGAGAGTTCCCTTTTCTCCACATTCTCACCAACACTTGTTTGTTGACTTATTGATGATGACCATTCTGACAGATGTGAGGCGGTGTCTCACTGTGGTTTTGATTTGCATTTCCCTGGTGATTAGCGACGCTGAGCATCTGTATGTGTCCATTGGCCATCTGTGTGTTCTTTCTGGAGAAACGATTATTCAGGTCTTCTGCCAGACTTTTAACTGGACTGTTTGTTTTTTGATGTTGAGTTATATGAGTTTTTTACATATTTTAAATATGAACTCCTTATCAGATAAATCTTTGCAAATATCTTCTTCCATTTAGTAGGTTGTCTTTTCATTTTGTTCATGGTTTCCTTTGCTGTGCAAAAACTTTTTAGTTTGATGTAGTCCCATTTTATTTTTTTTTCTTTTGTTTCTCTTACCTGAGGAAACATATACAAAAAGATTTTGATAAGAATGATGTAAAGGAGTTTACCACCTATGTCTTCTAGGAGTTTATGGTTTTGGGTCTTATATTTAAGCCTTTAATCCATTTAGAGTTTACTTTTGTGAGATATCAGCTGATAACCTTATGGGATTTCCTTTGTATGTAATACTTTGTTTTCCTCTTGCTGCCTTCAGGATTGTCTCTAACATTTGCCATTTTCACTACAACATGTCTTGGTGGAAGAGTCTCTTTGGGTTCCTCTTGTTTGGAACTCTCTGTGCTTCCTGCACTTGGAAATCTGTTTCTGTTTTTATTTCTTTAAGCCTGTTGCTTTTTGCCTTTCTTTTCCTTTTGGGATTCCTACAATGTGAATGTTGAAGTGTGTGATGTTATCCCTGAGGTCCCTTTTTTTTTTTTAATTTTTTTATTGATTATGCTGTTACAGTTGTTCTATTCCCCCCTTCATTCCCCTCCACCCTAACCCCCCATCCCCACCATTACCCCCCCTTTAGTTTATGACCATGTGTCTCAATTCCTTTAGATTCTATATTTCCCATGCTATTCTTGCCCCCCATCTATTTTCTATCTACTGTCTATGCTACTTATTTTCTGTACCTTCTCCCCCCCTTCTCCTCCTCCCACTCCCCTGTTGCTAACCCTCCTTGAGATCTTCATTTCTATGCTTCCACTCCTGATCTAGCTGTCCTTTTAGTTTGCTTTTGTTTTAGGTGTGGTTCTTAATAACTGTGAGTTTGTTGTCCTTTCACTGTTCATGTTTCTTTAACTTCTTTTTCTTAGATAAGTCCCTTTAACATTTCATATAATAAGGGCTTGGTGATGATGAACTCCTTGAATTTGATCTTATTTGAGAAGCACTTTATCTGTCCTTCCATTCTAAATGAAAGTTTTGCTGGATAGAGCAATCTTGGTTGTAGGTCTTTGGATTTCATGACTTGGAATACCTCTTTCCAGCCCCTTCTTGCCTGTAAGGTCTCTTTTGAGAAATCCGCTGACAGTCTGATGGAAACTCCTTTGTAGGTGACTGTCCCCTTAGCTCTTGCTGCTTCTAGGATTCTCTCCTTCATTTTAATTTTGGCTAATGTAATTGTGATGTGCCTTGGTGTGTTCCTTCTTGGGTCCAACTTCTTTGGTACTCTCTGAGCTTCCTGGATTTCTTGGAAGTCTATTTCCTTTGCCAGATTGGGGAAATTCTCCTTTATTATTTGTTCAAATAAGTTTTCCACTGGTGGTTGTGCCTTTCCCCCTTCTGGTACCCCTATAATTCGGATGTTGGACCGTTTAAAGATGTCCTGGAGGTTCCTAAGACTCTCCTCATTTCTTTGAATTCTTGCTTCTTGACTCTTTTCTGTTTGGCCATTATTTGCTTTCTTCTGGTCCACTCCATTGATTTGAGTCCCTGTTTCCTTTTCATTGCTATTAGTGTCCTGTGCAATTCCATTCATTTCAATTAGTTTCGCCTTCATATATTTGTCTAATTTGTCGGTATAATCAACCAGTTCTATGAGGACCCTGATTACCAGTGTTTTAAACTGTGCGTCTGAGAGTTTTGCTATTTCTTCATCGCTTAGATTTATGGGCTCTGGGGCTTTGAGATCTTCTTGCGCCATTTTTGGTCTGTTTGCACCCTTTAAAAGTGAGAAGCGGTGCCTTGGACTCCCAGGTCGCTGGGTTGTGACGCTATATGTGGGGGCGTGGTCAGAGCGGGGAAATGGCGACCCCCTCTGCTGTTTCTCACAGCTGGGTGAGGATTAGCGTCTTAGGTGGTTCACCTGGGCCGGGCCACTCAGAGTCGCTGGGTTATGACGCTGTATGTGGAGGTGGGGTCAGAGCAGGGAAATGGCGGCGCCCTCCACTGCCTCTTGCCGCGGGACCGGCCGGGCCCCGGTCCAACCGCCCACTCCCTCGCCTGTCCGCCCGCGCACAAATGCACGACCACAGTCAACACGCAGCACCGCTCCCCCGCTGTCTCCCCCGCGGTCGCTCGCCTGGTGGCTCGCTCGGTTGCTCACTAGGTCCAACCCTGCGCCTGGATTCCGAGCGTCTGGATTCTGCGCCTGAGTCCGGCTGACCGAGTTTTCCTGTGCAACCCCGGTTCACCAGCCGCTGGTTTCGCCTCTTACCGGTCAGGCTGAAGAATTTGTTGTTAACGGACTTCCGAAAAGTTCAATTTTCCGTGTTCTGGCTTTGTTTTCTGTTGCTAATATTTAGTTGTCTCTAAACTTGGTTGTGTGAGAAGGCACGGCACATCCACCTATGCCTCCATCTTGGCGGAAGTCCCATCCCTGAGGTCCCTTAAACTATCCTTGTGATTTTTAATTATTTCTTCTGTTATGATTGGTTGATTTCCACTAGTCTGTCTTCCACTGATTCATTATTTCGTGCTAGCTAATTGGCTGTTAATTCCTTCGAGTGTGTGTGTGTGTGTTTTATATTTTAGTTATTATATTCTTTAGGCCTGCTTGGTTCTTATTCTCTGTTGAAGTTCTAAGTTTCTGTAGTCCACTCAAGTTTGGTGAGCATCCTGATGACCACTTCTTTGAATTCTTTATCAGGTAAATTATTTACTTTTTTCTGGAGATTTTTCTTGTCCCTTCAGTTGAGAGATAGACATGCTGGCATTTTATTTTGCTTGATTTCTATGTTTGTTTCCATGAATTAGACAGTCTTGAGAAAGTGGCCTGGTGTGGAGGCATCTGCATGTGCATGGGTGGTTTCGGCAAGCCAGTGGGAACGAAAGGGATTTGGGGCACTAGCCCACGGAGCTGGAGAAGCCACAACTAGGGAGGCCAGGGGAGGGTGGCAATGCCCTGTTGATCCTGCTTGCTTTGTTTGGAGGCTACCTTGAACAGTGGTCAAAGCCCTTGGATAGAGCTCCTACTGCCCTCTAGAGGTGGAGTAGACATATACTCCAATGGTGCTTGTGGCCCCTCTGATCCGTGGCCCCTCTGATCCCCAGCCCCTCTGATCCCCAGCCCCTCTGATCCCTGTCCCCAGGGAGAGTGACTGCAGTTCACTCTCCAATCTTCTCTGTACATTATCTCACATTAGTTATTTACAAAGTGGTCTGGCATGGTGTGTAGGTATTTCATTTGGGGTAGTTTGGGAAGTGGGTTGAAGCTGGACAGGCATTACAATAGCTGGGGCTCTGGCCTGAGGACCTGAGTGACTCCCTGGTGGGGAGGCCAGGTGCACATGGTGCTGCCCTGTTGTCTCTGGAGGCAAGAGCCTCCTGACAGTCTCGCCGGAAATGCGCTGTGCTTACCTTGCAGGCCAAGTCCCCAAATAGAGCTCCTGCCACCCTGTGGATCCCCAACCTTCTTCGTTCTGTTTCATTCTCATTTGCTATTCATTCAGCTACAGATTAGGTGAGTTCAGCTGCTTCCTATGCTGCTGCCATCTTGAGCACACACTACGTGATTCACAAACGAAAAGTACATGTGCCAGTAATGCAATGCCAGGAGGTGACAGGAAGGCTGAAAGGTGGTGAACCTGTCTGGGAGGACCGCGGGGTGAGGGTAGGGGTAAAAGCCGGCAGACCTGACACCCTTCACCAGGGGCTGAAGCTGCCAGGCGCCTCCATGCCTCAGCCACATGGTGGCGCCCTTACTCCTCCCTAGGAATCCAGAGGACACCTGAGATGGGGGGAGGCCTGTGTGTGGGTGTCCACCTTGATCCAGCTAATGGCCAGCCCTCTCTTTGCTTCCCAGGTGTAACATGAGGGCCTGTGTGTGTTAGACCCTGCTCTGGGTTGAGACTCAGGTGTACAGAAACTCTGAAGTTGTGCTCTTGTGACCATGTCACAAATTGGGGAACAGGCTTGGAGAGCCCTCCTGACTCTCCCGAGGTCACACAGAAGCTCCTGGGCAGAGTCCGGATTTGAACCTAGCACCATGGTGCCTGTGTTCATAGCCATTTCCAGGACTAAGAGGGTCACAGAAACAGATTGATGGGTATCCCAGAGCAGCAACACAGCTCTGCCCCCCAGGCTCACTGCTGTCCTTCTGGGCAATGGCAGGAAGGGGACAGAGGGCAGAACTGAGGCTCCAAGGCCCTGTGTGCCCTTCTACCTGCCTGGATGAGGGGCCCAACACCTAACAGGCTCCAGGAGTTAAGCCTGGTCCCCAGCGGGTGTTCATGAAGTTCCCTTTTGTTGGAAGAGATGGAGGGTATGAAAGGTGAAGCTGTTTGCCCCACTGGGGATTGGGGAGTTAGAACTGGAACCTGTGGGAGGGTTTTGGTTTCGCACCATCAAGCATTCATTCACACACAAGTGTTTATGGAACTCCTCCTGTGTGCCTGGTCCTACACTGGGTGCAGTGGGCACAGCTGACTCCCAGCCCTGCTCATAAGAACAGGTTGCAGTCACATATTCTGTTGCACTGGATCTCCCTCATTTAGGCCTTCCGTGATGGGCGGGAGGTTCCCGGCAGCGCGCTCATGAACTCCGTGTGTAAGAAACTGTGCCCGTTTGGGACTTCCGGTCAGAGGGCGGTACAGGTAAACAAGGTGTGCCTCCCAGCACCGGTTAGTCCGCACGTGTCCGATGGGACTGGACACCACAGGAGCCCTGCAGCCACAGGCAGGCGGGCTTGAAACACGGCCCCAATCCAGACAAGGGGCTCCCTGAGCTCCCGCCATCCTGAAAGCTCAAAATGCTCCTGTGCAGCACTGAAAGTGTTACGTTCTGTGGGGCACCCACCTGGCCTACCTCCCTTGAGCTTCCAGAAGAAAAACATAAGAACCAATTACCACTTAACAGGCAGGCCAGTGCATCTACTGCGGGGGTGTGGGACATAATCCAGAAAGTACCTGCTGGTGGTAGGAGGCAGGACCCCAGGGGCGTGAGGCCTGAGTAGCTCTGTATTGGGGGCTGGGTGGAGAAGACAGAGGGCAAAGAGAGACGCACACACTTGAAGACAGATGAGGCAGAGACCCACCCACCTGGAGAAGAGGAGCAAGCCAGACAAAGTCCCCATCCACGCCCAGCCTGCTGCTCCCTGCCAACTCCTGTACCAGGCATACACTAGGTGCTCCACAAATGCTGACAGAGCAAGAGTGACACATACGGGCATATGGAGACAGAAATGTCTAGAAATAGACGATGGGGGTGGGAGAGTCAGGACTAAGTGGGGCCTCGGGGGGCTGCTGGGGAATGCTCATCACACAGCCATATAACTGCAACCCAACATAGCTGAATGTTTATTGGGCTGCCAAGGTCAGAGCCACCTGGATGAGCAGGTACAGCATCAGTAGGTACAGGTGAAGAAACCGAAGAGGATACCTGGCCAGTGTCACTGGCAGCAACTGCTGGACACCCAACAGGTTCACGTGGGATATTTTAAAAGACCAACAGCCAGACTGTCCTGAAATCTTTGAACTGCGAGACCAGAGGCATCCGGAGACGGGGGCAGCTTGGGGCTCTGGAAGTCCAGGGATGTCGGCCCAGAGCCGTGAGACCTGTGGGCAGGCCTGGGTCTGCTTCAGCCAGCACCCAGCACGGGTAGAGGTGCAGCTGTGAAACGGAGCCCCGCCACCTGGGAGGCACCACCAGCCTCTTGAGAGAGAAAAAGTGGTGCCCCCAGGCGAGGGGCACCAACCTGAGGCTTTAGGCCAAGTCCTAACCTGTCCTCACAGGGATGCCAGTCTTGGCTGGCAAGGCCCCTAAAGTCACAGTTCAAGAATGACTTTTCTAACACAGCCAATAAAGTCCTGAGTATGTAGAATACTGTCACCGGGAAAGGACAGCATCACCTTTCCATAACATCCATCAGGAATCTATTTGCAGGGCCTGAGGACCCCAATCAGGGGCAGCTGAGGGGCATCCGCCGCCAGAGCCCCCCACACAGGCAGTTCTTGATCCAGCGCTGTTCCCACTGTTTGACAGCTGTTGTCTTATTGGGTGACTTGAGCATGGTGACACAGCCACACCTGCAGGAAAAACCAGGTGGAAGCGGGTGCCGGGTGGGGCCCTCTCCCACCCGCCACTGGCCCTCTGTACCCGCTGTTCCCTGCAGCAGGAATGACCTCCCTTGCACTGCCCCCCTACTCTGGGCCAGCTCCTCCGAATGCTCCTGCCCAGGCTCAGGTGCTGCTTGCCTCACACCTCGATGTGGACAGAGCAGGGGCAGGGGGTCCAGTCCTGGCTCAGACACTCCCTGGTGGCATGACACGGACTCAGAACTTATGTGTGGGTTGTGTGGCAGCAATTAGGGCCACATCTGCAAAGGGCCAGCATAGGGCCTGGGCCATGCACTGCTGTGGTTGTTCCTTCATTCCTGCACTTAGGCTGGAATGCTCTGCAAGGGCTGGGTGCTCACCTGCTTACCACTGATACCCTCAGAAGGGAAGCCCAGGACCTCCCTGATCCCTTACAGAAACTGCCTGGCATGCCCTCTCCAGCAGCTCCACAAGGGAGACACGTTCACAGGTGGGAAAACAAAGTTGAGAGGAGAAGCCTCTCACCCTGAGGTCATGGGGTGGCAGAGTGGGGGCAGTGTTCGCTCTGCCCCCACTCTGGATGGATGAAGAGTCCACCTTGGGCAGCTCACCTCGTACAGGACTTGCACTCCTCCGTGGGGAAGGCTCCCAGGTGCAGCCGCCGCAGATGGTCGATCTTGGGCTGGCCAGTTGCCCTGGTGGAGGAGGGTGGAGGGGAACAGAGTCACATACACACATACTCGTGCAAAGTACACATGCACATATAGAGATGTACCCACGTGCAGTAGGTATGTGTGCATGCTAACATGCAGACAGGAACACACATGTGCACACATGTATGATACACCCACTGTGGCAAAACACGAGGGAGATGGTGCCTGTGGACGTGCGTCTACACGCCCTCTGCCCACAGAGACACCCCATCCTGGATGGTGCTGGACACCCTGATGACACCAGATGCCCTGGATGACACAGAGACCCTGGCAGTAGGAGCCCACACAGGGGCGGACCTGGTGCTTGGGGCAGGACAGTTGCATATACCATGTGACATATATTTGAAAGTTTTTACAGAACAAAGCGTTCAGAACCTCTCTGTGACTAGCATCCTCATTCATAGTCTTTTCTGATTCACCAGGCCCTGCCCCCTACGGCACAAGAAAGAAAATGCCGGCAGGTCCTGGAGGTCAGACCACAGGGGTGGGAATGGTCTTCCTTCTTTTTTTCCTTTTAATTTACTAATTGATTTTAGAGAGAGATGAAGGGGGGTGGAAAGAGAGAGAGAGAAACATTAATTTGCTATTCCACTTATTTATGCATTCATTTGTTGCTTCTTATATGTCCCCAGGTTGGGGACCAAACCTGTAACCTTGGTGTATCAGTATGATGCTCTAACCCACTGAGCTACCTGGCTAGGGCCAACAGCCTTTCTTTTGTTCATCTGCTTTCTGAAACTTCCACCCTAAGTAACAGGCTACTCGGGCAGATTGCGTATATTTCTCCATCTAGGGACTACTTAGCAGGGGTAGGAGCCTGATGGGTCCCAGTGCAGATAGTGGCCCAGCCACTTCATGGCTGTGACCCTAGCTCAGTGACTACACCTTTCTGAGCTGTTCACTCACCTGTGGGATGGGGACAAAACCCCACCCCACAGTGCTGTGGGCAGTAAAGGGCTAACTTATGAGGTCTGGGCTGGCCCTTGGCTACCAGAGTGCCCCCTGACCCTTTGAAGGTCCTGCCTGCTTTAGTGTCTACTGGGGCCTTGGGCCAGGCCAGGTGTGGCCACTTACCAGCCTGACCTCTGCAGAGGCTAGAGCCCCAAATAACTGGTCAGCCATGTGACACTGCACACAGAAGGTGACAGACCAGGGGGAGGAAGACATCACACAGATACCCAAATGCACAAATCAGTAAAGACTGAGGAGATGGTGGAGGGAGTGACAAGCACTGGAAGGCGGGGGAATTCAGTGCCTAAGTGAGGGAAGTCCCCTGGGGACAGGATTTAGGTCAAGCTCAGAAGGAAGCAGCAGGCACAGCACACGCAAAAGCCCTGAGGCAGCGGCATGAAGGAGCCAGGTGGGTTTGGGGGGGACCCTGCAGGAGGAGAATGCACAGGGCCCCAGGCAGAGGGCATGCACCTGATAAGGCCATCCAGCTGCAAGGTGGTGGCACTGCCAGGCAGAGTGGGGGCCTTGCCGAAGTACAGACGCAGGGGCTGCTTGGGCTGCAGGCGGCTGACTAGGCCATCGCTGACAGGCAGCCAGTCCAAGCTGGGGATGAGCAGCTGGCTGGGCAGCAGGCAGCACTCGTCGACGAGTGCCTCATCTGGTTCGCTGGTGGGGCCCTCGTCACGGCCTGCAGAAGAGGACCATGGGATGTGCTGGTCAGCTTGGAGCTCAGGGACCAGGTTCGGGCCCAGCTCTGCCCTGACTTTCTGAGGTGCCCTGGAAGCTCCTCCCTCTCTGGCCTCAGCCTTCCCTTCTGTAAAACAGGAACCCAGTCATTCATTTAAAAAACATTCAGCAAGAACTGAATACCTTCCTGGAAGAGGGCTGCAAGAATGACAGAGCCTAGTCCTCCAGAAATACACAGCCTGGTGACATGAGACAAGCCACCAGTGTCTAATAATAGCTGATGTTTAATGACTACCCACTCCGTGCCTGGACTTGTGCTGGGTGCTGGGAAAACAGTGAAGACCAAGACAAAGCCAGTTTGACTTAAGGAAACTTATATTCTTGTGGGGGGACTCAACTGGGGCTTGCATGTTGGTGAGAGGCTGGGATCAGAGAGCTGGGTATCTTACAGCAGATCCAGAGCTTAGTAAGCAGACGGAAGAGCAGGGACATGCTGTCCTGGGTGTCAGAGGTGGCCGTGTACACAGGCAGACAGCTGGGCTTCAGCAGGCCCCAGATGCGGATGACGACCATCAGTTCCCGCAGCATACCAAGCGAGGTACCATCCCGTAGGAAGCTGTGTCCAGGCCGCAGCGGGGCGCCCTGTAGGAAAAGGCACTCAGGCTATGTATTTAAATATGGGCCACTTCCTAGGACCTTCATGGGTCCTGGAGTGGGGGTTTTGCAGAGGGGCAGGGAGGGGGCACACCTGGTTAGGCAGGCTGGCCAGCAGGTAGAGCACAAAGTCGCCCACCCACTGTAGGAGCTGTTGCAGAGCCTGGAGTGTGTTCATGTCCAGGACAAACTCCTCTGTCTTGAGGTTGATCATGACCTTGTCAATATCTAGAAAGGGATGGTGGTCAGGAGTAGCCAGGCGCCACCATGCACTGGGACCAATCCCGCTTTGCACCCTGGGATCCTCATTACCCACGAGCACCCATTATGAGCTGGGCCTGGACAAGTCAACCCAATACTGTGAATAAACAAGTGGGCAGGATGGCTGAGCCAAGGACTGTGGAGAAGAGGGCTGGACCCACAGCAACAAGGTGTCCACTGCCAGCTCTCAAGATGACCCCGCTGTTCCTCGGGCCAGCCTGTGCTGGGCCCCTGCAGCTCCTCCCTGGCATGGCTGACGGAACTGGATGGGACTCTATTTGCTCCCCTCTGGTTAACATTTGCCTTCAGCCCCAGGCCAACCCTGTGGCCGACGTCTCCACCTTCTTCAGGTACCACCCCCACACCTGGCACACAGGAAACACCCACGGACAGTGTTCAGGTGGGACTTAGGATGGTCCCGCACAGAGCCGTGCATGCACAGCCGCTCTCAGGGTGGCCTGCTGGGAAGGGGTGAGACCCACCAACGTCTGTGATCTTGGCACAGATCTCGGTCAGCCGGTCGCCGGGACTCTTATCAGGCGTATTGAGGATATGTGGGCGCAGCAGGGACTTGAGTGTGGAGCTGATGGCGATGAGAAAGAGCTTGGCATGGTAGTCACACACAAGGGTCACAGTGCACGGTGACAGCTTGCAGAGCGAGGCCTTCATGGCCAGGATCCGGGTGGAGAGGACCTGGGGGTTGTGCAGTATGAGCAGAGACATCCACTTGAGGGGCCTGGGGAAGAGGCTCTTGCTATAGTATACAGCAGGGCTGGGAAAGCTGAGGTACCTGCTTAATGTCTCTGGACCTCACCTCTTTGTGGCAGAATCAGGTAAGAGAATCTACCTCACAGGACAGGTGAGGTGTCAACCTGGAAGTGGCCCTGCACCCAGGGACACTAGGCATGTCTAGGGACATCTGTGGCTGTCACACTGGGAATGCTTCTGGCATTGAGTTGGTGGGGGCAGGGATGCTGCTCAGCACCTACTGTGCCCAGAACAGCCCCCCACCACAGAGACAGACCTGGCCCAGGTGTAAGAGGTGCCGAGGGGAGACCTGGTCTCGTTGGGTAAGTGAACGGCTAAAGCACTAAAATGCGCCGGGCTAGGGCCCGTGGGCAGTGACCTCATTCCCATCGAGCTCAGCTCTGAACGCCCACTGTAGCTTCACATCCTCCCTAACAACCTCACTCACGTCCTGCCAGGCCCCTCTTGTGAAAGGGACCTTTTTCCCCACTTCACTGTCACTGCTGGCACAGAGGAAAGCTGCCCATTTCTGAAACTGTTCTTCGTGTACCCCCGTGTTGAACTTGTGCTAGTGTTAAGGACTCCTTGCGAACGCTAGTGTTTTCACAGGTGCCCCATCATGGCACCTGGTCATTGTTCTCTTCCTCGCTGATCTCTAAGCCTATTTATTGCTCCTATCTCATCACCTGTGTGAGGCCCCAGTTCCACATGCACGTGCACTCATGTACTCGGAGGCGTCTGAGAAGACAGCCCCCGCTGGTGGCAGAGACGGTGGCACCAGGGGTTCATGTGTCATTGGAGGGCTCTGACTTCCTAGAGAAAACTCTCCAGGTGAAGAACGAGGTAAAAAAAGGTGGGGGTGCGTGGCACCGGGCTACCTGCTGCAGGGCAGCTTTCTGGCGTGTGTACTCCTCGTGCAGCCGCTCCACCAGGCTCTGCACCATCGTGGGCTGCACGTGAAGCAGGATGTCCCACCAGTCGTAGCCCGTCACCATGCAGTACTCCAGCAGGAAAAGCAAGTGCCGCAGGGCCAGGTTCACATCCAGTGTGTGGCCCATGGAGGGCGAGATGCGCAGCATGCTCAGCTGTGGGAGAGGGGACGGCTGGTGAGACCCCTAAGGGAGTGCTGGGCAGATGATGTCCCTGGCTCCGCCTAAGGCTCTGGGCACCACGCTCCCTCCCCTGAGCTGGTGGCCCTGCTGCGTGTGGGCAGTCAGAGCCCGGTACGTGCAAGTGTTAATGGGCTTGAGGCAGCCATGCAGCACTTTCCAAAAACGACCCAAGGGACCGCCCTACACCCTCAGACACATTTGTGGGGACTGGACCCATCCTTTAGGCTTCATGATGGATGTACACTAATGGGTGAGGGCCATGGGGAACCCTCCAGACACAGACACGGTTCCCCAGGGAAGCTGAGCCACCCCCACAAGAAGAGGCCTATGGAATGACAGACGGGCAAGACCCACACACAGGTACTGAGGAAACGAACCAGGATTTGCCTAGAAACCAAAAACACAAGTGACAGGCAGGCACCAGACAATGACCAGACAGAGCCCATTTGCCCCAGGGCAGCAGAGGATGGGGTGGGGGTTGCTCCCCCACACACTGAGAGGGCAGCTCTGGAGCACCCACAGCAGCACTTACCTTCCCGTGGTTGTCGATGCCCACAAGGGCCAAGGAGGTCCAAGACAGCTGCATGGCCTTGAAGTGAATGGCAGGGCCTGTGGTCCGGGGGCGCTTGATGGCAGGCTCGTCCATGGAGCGTGGAGCTGTGGAGCTGTAGAATATGGCCATGGTCTGCAGCGACAGCCGGTGCACAATGTGGACGCTGCCGTCGTGGAAGGCCAAGGCCAGCCCTAGGGGAGGGGCACACGCAGGGTCAGGAAGGGCCTGGAACATGCCCACTGGTAGCTGTGGGGCTGCCTAGCTCTGGACAATGCGAAGTGACTGCCCTGGGGATGGGTGAACCCTGAGACACAAACAGCCCACCGCCCCATGTCTGGCCAGCCGCCCTCACAGCCTCTGTCCTCTCTTCCTTTGCTAACAGGCCACCAGAGTCAGTGGAGCAAGGTGCCACCAGTCAGGCTGCATATCCCCAGAGGCCGTGCAGCTGACTCTATGTTTCAGATGATGTGAGCAAACACAACTTCCAGGGGAACAAGGTGGGAGGAGATAGGAGCACACAAAGGGCTTCATGGCAGGAACAAAAGTCAGTGAGTTTACGGACTCCTTGAGCCCAAAGCTGTGATGAACGTGTAGCAGGGTTGGGGGCTGACTGTTAGCCATCCCAGCGCTTCTAGCTCAACTCACTCATGGTCATAGCCTCCAGGGACTGAACCAGGATCAATGTTTTAGCTGCTACGACAAAGGGCACTGCTTATCCTGAGAGTTTACCCTCAAGTTTCTAACCTTTGCCTTATTGGTTTCTAACAGCTCTTTACATATTAAAGATGCAGCTTTTCAGATCCTGAAAGTGGAGAGCCTCGTAGCCATTTGAGCTTGCTAGATCCTGAAAGCAAAGCTACCTCCTCAGTGGGTACAAATTAGAGACTAGCAGGCAGCTCCCAGAGCTCTAAGACCTAAGACCCCAGCTCCAAGCCCACCATACCGAGGCCGGGATAGAACTGTGTGTCGCTGGCCACCTTCAGGTCAGTGTTGGTGAGTGAGATAGGCAGCTTGGGTAGTGCCACAGCAGAAACTCGGTCCAGGTCATTGGTAGCTGACAAGATCCGCCACTTGAGAATCATGGGCTGCTTATCACCAACTAAACATAGGGCAGGGATGCAGAATAGCAATGGAATGAAGATAAACACCACAATGATGGACCACAAGGGGACAATGGCCAAGACCCCTTCTCTGATCCCAGCACCTGCCCTCCACCAAGGACCCCACCTCAGCCCTCAGCATACCACACCCCAGCCAGCTGGTTGGTATAGGACAGGCACATGACCCAAGATGACCAAGAGAACCCAGTCCTGGGACTTCCTGGGGACAGGGAGGAGGCATCCTCCAGGCATCCTGCTAGTGTCAGCCGGCAATAGTGGGTACCCACTTCATGGAGCCAACATAATGAGAAAGGGGATGCTACCCCCCAAACCCTGTGCCACATGAAACCCAAAACTCCCTTGTGACTTGCCAGCTTGGGTTGGGTTTGTCCCTTACAATCTAAGAGGTCCTAGGTGGGACCCCAGCTGTCCCCACCAGATAAGATGCACCCCCCTCCCTGCACTCACACCCTCCACATGCTGATGAAGCCTCCTGCACCCAACAAGAAATGGAGTGATTTCCGTGAATCTAAGCATGGCCAGTGGGCACTGGTGAACTGTGACATACACAGGGGATCCAACAGTGCTTGTGCCTGGGACGCTGAGGAGAACAGGCTGGGCTGCGGGGCATGTGCCACGGGAAAATGGGCCCGGTTGGTGGCCAGAAGCCCAAGCGGGAGGCTAATGGCAGGCACATGGAACCAAGTATCTAGGTGCAGCCAGATGATCCAGTCCAGAATAATATGAACTGTGGTTCTGAGCCTGAGTTTGGGGATAATTTGTTATGTAGCAAAGCTGACTGTCAGAGGACTCATCTCTGCCACCATCAGTGTCCAGATGTGTGCCCCAGGGGCTTCCTCACAGTTTATAAACTTGCTGCACCCTGGCTGGCATGGCTCAGTGGACTGAGTGCTGGCCTGTGAACCAAAAGGTCACCGGTTCAACTCCCAGTCAGGGCACATGCCTGGGTTGCAGGCCAGGTCCCCAATTCAGGATGTGCAAGAGGCAACTGATCAATGTATCTCGCACATCAATGTTTCTCTCCCTCTCTTTCTCCTTCTCTTCCCTTCTCTCTAAAAATTAAAAAAAAACTTTAAAATAAATAAATAAAATTGTTGCAAACCCAGTAAGGGAGTTTCAGCAAATGCTGTCCCCAGGGAAAAACCAAAGCCCAGAAAGGTCAAAGCCCAATTCGGCATCTGGCACGAAGACACTACAGAGTGTCACACTACAAAGGTAACGACCAGCACAGAGTTCCAGGAAAGGCTTGCAGGGTGAGGACTGTGCCCAGCCATTCAAACCCTCCCTTCACTGACTGGTGCACCCCAAACCCAATGCAGTCCTGCCTGCCCCCTGTGGGGCCACCCGCCACTGTTCAAAAGCTCCCCAGGATACCTGTCCAGGGACAGTGCATCATGCCCTGTTCATGTCAATTCCTCTGTAGCCACAATGCGCAGCTTATGTAACCACCTCGAGCCGCAAATGACACAGCAAGGGATCTCTTGATATGGCTGCATTAGTGGCTTCTGCTTAGCAACCCCCTGTGTGTCCAACCACCCCAGGGTCCATTAGTGCTAATCAGCAAAAAGCAGAGCTTTCTTTTGCTGGGAAAACACCTGCATCAGTATATCTGGGCAAGGTTTTCCCCCTACGGCCACCACCTAAGGATGAAAACTAGCGGCTTTTCCAGCCTACCACTGGCTTCAGATCAGGCCAGTATGTCCCAGGGTCTGTGTCAAAAAGGAGGGGATGCTGGTCTTAGCACCAACCTGAGAGACACGGGGGTTCCCTATGCGTGAAAGGATGAGGGGAGAGGGAGGTAGGCTGGTGGGCGTGTTCTTGGCAAACTCAGTTAATCCCTCCAGCTTTGGTTTCCTCGCTCTAAATGAAGGTTTCCGAAAGATCCATGGCTTTCAGGGTTAAATGCCTCCCTGTAGTCCACGCCCCCTGCTGAGCTGGTTCTACCTGCTGGCCTCCCACACCTTGACTGTGGCTCTGCTGTCCCACCAACCACACCCTCCCATAGGTGGTTGGGCTGCCTGCTGGTGACTATGGGCCTCTCTGAGCCTTAGTTTCCCCAAATTAAAAGTCAAGTGCCCTGGCCCCACAGAGGGAACTCACCCACAGGAGAGATCTGCTGGAAGATGTTGTTCACGGGAAGCCCTTCCTTCCGCAGGGACCAGCACTCCACGATGCTGCTTGTCTGGTTGGACGCGCACAACAGCACCTGCGGGGACCGTGGCAGCTCGATGAGGAGGCAGCACCTTGGGCATCCACACCTTATAGGGGGTGCTTGCACTAGCCCAGGCTCAGGTGCTGGCCTGCCTGATACAGCCACCTCCCCTCCCTGGGCCTCCATTTCCTTGGTCCTCACACTGGCCCCGACCTCACAGCCACTGTGGACTCAAACCCAGGTCTACCCATCCGCCACCCTGCCGGAGCAGCACACACCACACCAGTGGTGCCCTCCCTGGCAGGAGTTTGGGCCTTACTGCTGTGTAGTTATAACGGGAACTATAGTGACCTAGTGGGGTCAGCTGAACAACAGCCCCAAAGATGTCCCTGTCTGGGTTTCAGGACCTGTTTATATGTCACCTCACACAGTAAAGGGGCTTTGTAGGAGGGATTAACTCAAAGACTCTGAGATGGGGATGACCCTGATTCTCAGGGGCCCAGGGTCCTCATAAGAGGAAGCAAGAAGGTCAGAGTCAGAGCTGGAAGAGGCTGCGCTGCTGGCTGTGACGATGGAGGAAGGGGCCATGAGCCAGGGATGCAGCGCTTCTAGAAGCTGGAAAAGGCTAGAAATGGTTCTCCCTGGAGCTTCTGAAGGACCAGCCCTGCCCACAGCTGGGTTAGCTGTGAGACCCATGTCAGAGTCCCAGCCAGAACTGAAGGTGAGAAGTGTGTTGCATCACGGCTGCATCCCCAGTGAGCTCACCTGCTCGGACATGTCACGGGCCAGGAATTTGAGGTGGGTGATGGCAGGAAACTTGTCCTTGCGGTTGAGGTCGGTGGTGCAGCGCATGAAGAGCGAGGGCAGGATCTCGGTGTCGATGCGACACTTCTCGCTGACCACACTCACACACACCTTGTAGAACTGCACGGGAGAGGCGCTGCTGCCATCCGCTGTGGCCACCACGATGTTGCCACCACCTGTGAAGGCGATGTCCGCCAGGGCAACACGGCCACGCAGTCGGCATAGGCTCTCCGTCGATGTCAGCACCTGCCCACTGGGCTTGAGTAGGGACACGGTGACCAGGCCACTGACAGTCACTGCGATCCAGCCCTCCATGGGCTTGCCCCCAAACAGCGTGAGGGATGGTGAGAACTTGACACGGGAGAACTTCTCCCCGAAGCTGGAAGCGCCTGACTGTGGGAGAGTGAGTAAGGGGTCTTAGTGCTGGCGCCACCCCCACCGAGGACAGGAGGAAAGATACCCTGCTTAGCTGTAAGCATCAGCCTCCTGTGACCCGACAACCCATGAGGCAGAAGCTACGAGAGCATAGACCTGAATCCAAATTCTGCCTCAGCCACTTGAGCACCATGTGATGTGGACCTCTCTGACCCTCCAGCTCCTCCCCTGTACTTCAGAGGGCCATGGTAAGGATCAAATGACTGAATGCATGAAGGACAGGAGGCAGCAACCTTCCCGTGTAAGGGGCCAGACACTCATTATTTTCAGGTTTGTGGGCCAGGTGGCCCCTGCTGGGACTACCCGCTCCTTGTCTGAGTTTGCAGAAGCAGCTGCCAATGAGACTGTTCACAGAAACAGGTGGGGCTGCATTTGGCCTGCAGGCTGCAGTGGGCAGACCGCTGCATTAGGAATTCAGGAGGTGCCATGAAAGTACTGGCTGCTGCTATTTTATTACTGTTATATGTTTCAAAATTAGGTTTAAGTTACAATTTACATGCAACCAAATTTACTCTTTTTAAGCATATGGTTCCGTGGGTCTTGACAAATGTGTCATCATGGAAAACCACAAAAATCATGAATAGAATCCACCCCCTTCTAAAGGGCCCTCGTGTCCCTTAGCAGTCAGTCCCCACCCAACCCCACCCTGGGTCCCAAGTGGTATCACTAGTTTTGCCTTTTCTAGAATTCTACCAGAGTGGGACCTGTGAGCAGCCTTTATGCCTGGCTCCTTTCACTCAGCAGGGCTCTTCTGAGCTTTGTCTGTGCTGTTTAATTACTGAAACAGAAGGTGTGAACCAGGCCCAGGGCTCAAAACACTAGAGGATGCTGGTGATAGGAGAGGAGGAGCCAAGGTGGCAGGTGGATGGATAAAGTAAATGGCCTCATTCACCACACCTATTCACTCAGGCAGACACTCACCTTTTCCACATGCAGTGCCAACTTCACACCGTTGTGCAGCCACGACAGGGCCACAATGGGGTCCCCCTCCACCAGGCTTCCCACAGGGCTCTCCCAGCTGTTGGCCAGGTGGTCCGCCATGCTCCAGCACTTGATCTGCCCATTGGCATCAGCTGACAGGAGCCGAGAGCCTGTAGGAAGCAGACCTGCATCACAAACCCCCACCATAGGCAGGGATTATCACCCGCAGTACATCAAGAACTTGGGAGACGCCAGCCTAGCAGTGGTAGAGCAAGGGAGTGCCACAAGGCATGATGGGAAATAGCTCTGAACACAGGAACAGGAAGAGCACTAGCCACAAAGCCTTAAGTCAAAGGTTCGAGTCCTGGGTCTGACTTTGGGGACAGGACCAAGAAAAGACAGAATACATCCCCCTGGGATTTGGAATAAGCATCACCATGGTTGCCTTTGGCCACACGGGGGCCCTACTGAGCCTACCAGCCCCACCCTTACCTGACTGGTCCCACTCGAGGCAGGTGATGGCCTCACTGTGCTCTGAGCTGATGGAGTGCACGTCCCAGGGGTGCTCCGTGTCCAGGATGTGGATCAGGCGGGTCAGGTCTGCAGGGGATGGCAGACAGTCAGCACGATGACAATGTCATGGCCCTAAAGATTCCAGGGGGACTCAGGGAGGAACCCAGCAAATGTCCCACCCATAGGAAGTCATGGAGATGCTGCTGACCACATCCACAGCCCAGGTATTAACAAGGAACAAGCTTGCATTTCCCAGGGAACACAGAGCAGGCCTGTGAGTCCCCACCAGTGTGTCTACCACCCAAAAAACAGAATTGGAAGAAAATGACCCCACAATGCAAACAGTGGGCTTCTCTCCATGGAAGACAATAGGTGGTTCTCTTTATTCTAAATTTCTGTGCTTCTCTAATTTTCTCTAATGAGTGCACATCACTCGAATGATGGAGAGATGGCCAGTGGCGATGAACCTTAGAGGTTTTCAAAAGTTAAAAGTGACACGTAAGGTCTGGAAACTGAGGCACAAGTCTCCCCAACAAGCCTGAGTGGAATGCTCACCTTTCCCCCTCTACCCCACAGGGTGATCCAAGCATCCCCCAAGCACCAGGTATGGGAGAGCACTATCCCAGCAGCCATCACTTAAATGGGAGGTGGCCCACTAAGGACAGGAGCCACAAGTTAAATGCATCTGTCTTTTGCACCCTGAAAGATTGGGGCCTTCACCACCCCCCAGATATGAATAAGGTGGGAGATGGCTCCCACACAGGCCTAGAGACCTGGAGTCACCCCACGGTAGTGTGCCAGGCACCATGGGAGCCAGGAGTATAACACTGTGTGGGGAGGGGAGGGGAGGGAATAGGGGCTGGACTGGAGGTGAAGGGGTGTACCCTGGTCATCATTCCGGAGGTCCGTGGTGAAAGCTATGAGGTTGCGGCAGGACCAGGCGCAGGCCAGGGGTACTGATGGACAGTGGGTACTCTTGGGCCACTTCTCCCACTCGCAGACATAAGCCAGATCCATTGTGCCCACCTGCCACAGACCAAGGACCTTCACCTGAGGAACAGAGTGACCACCTGAAGAAGGAAATGACAGGGAGGACTGGCTCACCTTCACCAAGTGCCTGCAGGGTGCTGAATGCCATGATGGATGCTGGGTCGCCAAGAGAAATGAAAAGCACCCAATCCCTGCCCTATGTGTGTGTGTGGGGGGGGGGGGCGGCTGCATTTTAAACAGAGAGCCATAGAAGCCTCACTGGGGAGAAGACATTTGAGCAAAGGTGCAAGAGAATGCGCTGAGGCATGCAGATGTCTGGGGAAGAGCACTGCAGGTGGAGGGGACAGCCAGTGCAAAGGCACAGTGCGTGGGTCTAGCCTGGGGTGTTTAAGGAGTGGCCCAGTGATTGGGGTAAGGGTGGGGTAAGGGCAGGTCCTGCAGGGTCCTATGGGCTTCCACCCTTGGTGACAAAAGAGTAAGAGTCCCAGGAGGGCTGTGACTTATTTGTGTTTTGACAGGACCCCTCTGCTGTCTGGAGGATGCACCTGCGAGGCAGGGTGAGGGGAATGCATTGGTCCAAGCAAGCAGTGGAAACTGTGAGAAGAGGTAGGACCTTGGGTCTGTCCTTTGGGAAGGGCTGATTTGGGGGACACAGGTTGGGGAAGTTAGCAGTTTTGGTCTTGGTGTGGGACCTACGAATTGTTAAGAATAACAGTAACAGTGAACCCTTCTTCAGGGCTCAGTGCCTAGCATCGATTACAGGTTATCTTTCACTACCACAAAAACCCAGTGAGGTTTGTTGGTACGATGAACCCCATTTCCTCAATCACTACCTCTACCCTCACGTCCCCTATTCTTCAGATCCTACCCCAGAATACCAAAGCCCCACCCACAACACCCTTCAACACTTTAAGCTCCGCCCCCAAAGCGCTCCTTTCCCCCATCCCCTTCAGTCTTTGCTTTCCAGACCTTGCTGTCCATTTGCCTCTCAAGCCTCCAGGCCCAACCAAAACTAAGAAGCTTCACTTCAGAGACCCCCAAACAATCCCTAGGCCCATTCCCAAAGCTCTCCGGCCCCGCCCTTAACACCCTTTGCTTTCCAGACCCCCCCCAACAACCTGGCCCTCCAGGCCCCGCCTCCAATTCTCCCCTAGAGACTCCTGGCCCCATACCAACAGCCCCACGCAACCTCTACCTCCTTTCTCCAAGTCTCCCACAACCCTCAAGCTCCGCCCCAAATTCGCCCCAGGGCCCCGCCCCGATTTCCCCCCTGCTGAAGAACCCGTTTCTGCCACCCTCCCCTAGACCACGCTCAGAGCTCCAGGCAGTATTCCCAGCACCCTTTGCTTTCCAGACCTGCCCTCTGACCTTACAGGCCCCGCCCCTGGCGCGCGGGTCTCCGCCTTCTCCGGGATGCACTCGCCGGTCTCACTGGGAGTCTGGCTGACCCACCGGAACCCTTGTAGCCCTTCGCTCACTCGGTCGGCTGGTGCGCCGCGGCCGCGGACCGCACTCGCTCTAACACCCCGGCTCTAACGCCGCCATCTTCCCTAAGACCATTGAGTCTCCCGCGCAGCGCGAACGCTTCCCAGAGGCTTCTGGGACGGCAGAGGCTGGGGCCCCGGCCCCGCCCCACTTCCGTACTCATTTGTGTGAACGTGGTAGACTCCTAGCTGTTACCTGAGTTTTATTTGTGAGAGTAACGGGTATTTTCTCAGCCCCAATGAACTACCCCATTTGGTTACGCTGTGTGCTGCACTATCATATAAAGATGGGTTGCTAAACCTTTGGAACATAATTCACCCTTAATGAAAGTATATATTCTGTAAGTAGCCCCAAGGTCTAGGCCGCCCCTTGCCTCGCGCAACTTGTGTTCCTTTTTGTAATACATCAGTCCGAAGCAGAATGATAAAAAGAGTAGTGTGTCACTTGCGCGAGGATAACACGTAAATTTGCCAAGTGTGTGCCCCACATTTTGCTTTTCTAAAATCCGTGGATGGGGTACTGAGGTTGGGCGAGGAAGTACCTTGCTCGCCAGTTCAAGGGCTACCCTAACTTCAGAGTCCATTTTCAACTATAAAAGCTGGTTCGATTCTGTACTTGCATACTTTTGTGTTGTTTATAGGTGCGCAGGCAGGTGCTGGTAGGTGAAGTAACTTATCCAACATTCTGGATTCCCACCCCTTCCCCAACTTGACCTCCGAAAGCTGCTCCTGTTCCTACTAGGTGCTACACTCTCCCAAGTTTGGAGGGTCTTCTGTAGGAGGGCCTCCTAGGATTTCAGGGGAGGGTGACCAGGTGGAAGGCACCACCTGGACAAAGGCCTGAAGACCCCACAGCCTGAGAACCGAGCCGGGGAAGAGGGCAAGGACCCCACATAGCCGCACTCCCTGAGGCCCAGTCCTGTCCTCTGAGAACCTGGAGTTGGATCCCCTTTACAAATGGGAGCCTCCAAGCTTGTTACTCAGGATCTTCTTTTGTCCTCATTACTTGCCATTTGGATTTCCATTATTTAGTGTCTACCTTTAAGACTAAACACATGTTGAAATGGAATGCAGTGCCCCCAGTGCCCACTGGTTTCTAACTCGGTACTCTGATAAAAGAAACTGGGCTTCTTGGAGAAATACATCAGCCCAGCCCAAGCATCATGTAATGGCAGAAAGCCAGGACCGTGTTGCTCCAGAAATGAAAACCCCACAATGATGGGGGTCCCTAAAGAGACACAGGACTCCACTGAGAGCAGCCAAACCTGAAAACATTGCTGCAACAAAACCAAGTAATACCACATTTTAGCTCAAAGTACAAATATGCATGCCTCACACTGGTATGACTGAATAAACTCATGCATGGGTGAAGAGACAAACCTCTGCAGCTCTCCCCATAATTAACTCTCTGCCCTCAGGGGGGTGGAGCTAAGGGACAACAAAGCTACTAGGAGCTAGGAGCAGTGGGAAGCAACACTTTTAAACTTGGACTTCTGGCCTTCAGAACTGGGAGACAGTAAACCCCTGTTGCTTTCAGCCTGAGTGTGGGTTATTTTACTGCAGTGTGTGGTGTTTTGTGCCGCTGCCCCAGGAACTTCATGTGACTTTTTAGAGGTCATACAACTGAGAAATGGCAGAGCTCATGTTTGAGCCTGGGCACCCAGCAGGGGCCAAGGCAGCAAAGCCAACACCAGAAGCTCTGGCAGTCTCATCAAGTGCCTCACGCTCCGCGTGTCACTCAGTGTGGAGGCCCTCCTCCAGGCCCCCGGCCCTCCATGACCAGGGCCAGGCACATTCTGAGTACCCATCTTGCCCCGAGCCCTGCCCCAAAAGAAAACTCCACATCTGGAGACCAGAGCACCAGAAATTTATTGAATTCTCCACTTTTCCCAAAGCACAACTAGCCACACACACGGGAGTAAAGGTAGGGGGTCCCCCAACCCTGCTCTTGGGGCCCAGGTCAGGGTGACCAGCACAAAGATACCCCAAAGCAACACGCCAGAGTCAGGCTGGGGGTGGTGGGAGGTGAAGAGACGTGAAGAGGGGAGCATGGTAGTAAGAAGGCAGAGGCTTCTGGCTGGAAGTCCCAGGCCCCCAGGATGAAGAGAGGGGAGAGAAATTGGGGAGAGGGGTTGTAGAGCAGGCAGGGCCCCAAGAGCCACCAGGGGAGGAAAACACACATTCCAAAAAGAGGGTAAAACCAGCCATTAAGACACAGCTTCTGCCCTGGGTCACAGGACATCGGCGGGTATACGCATGCACACACACGCTCACAACACGTAACGTTCCTGGGGTGAGGGGAGCACCCCAGAGACCCCCCCAATTCCAGCCAAAAATTGGGAGGGAGGTCAAGCAGAGGATAGAATAAGTCTCCCCGATTTATCAGTTGGGGCAAGTATTTGGTTTTTCTTCCCAAAAGGGAAATTTAAAAATCTATCTATCATGCCGAATTCATTAAAAGTGATTTAAAAAATTAAAAAAACAAAAACAAAAAAAACCCCTAGCCTCTTCCTCCTTGCTTAAGCTTCACACTGGGCTAAAAAGCTGACCAAAGAAGGAACATGGAAGAGAACAGGCCAGGTCTCCCCATCCAAATACAAGTCCCAGAGCAGGAAGCTATGGGCCTGACATAGTCTGGGGCAGCGCCAGCTCCCAGCATTTACCTGGAAGAGCTGAGATAGGATGGGGCCAGGGTAAGAGTGCCACCCCATGGGGACAGCATGTTTCCAAGGACAAATTCTAAAAATGACAAACATTTTAGTGGGTGGTATGGAAAGTCTTGACGGGAAGGGGGGGGCGATGGGCTGGCATCAGCTGCGTTGCTCCAGGTAAGCGGAAAGAAGTAGCCCAGGGGGGAGGAAGTCCAGGTGCCGGTTGCTGACCTTCATCTGCCTCTTGCCCTCCAGGTTGGCACCTGTAAGAGTGACCAGTGGGGCAAAAATGAAAGGAATGCAAGAGTCATGGCACACACAGGGGCTGTGCCCTTGGCTCTTCCTGCTAGAGGTCATGGCAAGCTGGCACTTGGGGTCTGGCTGACCGTGCCGGCCTCAGGAGAACAGCTCCAGCTCCTTGAGAACCTCCATCTGCAACCCATTTCATCTTTTCTGTTCCTTATTCCATGTTCAGAAGGATGCCCTGAGAAACTCCTGGCCCTGAACAAATATCCTGCCTCCTTCCTGGTCTCCTCCTTCCTTCGCTGCCCGAGGGCTGACTCTGAGCTCGACCCCACCTGGAGGCTTCTGCACAGCTGTTCCCTCTCCCCTACTCCCCGTCTTGCCAGGTCCTGTCCTCCTCTGTGTTCAGGCAACAGCTGGACTCCAGCAGAGAAGCATCCCCCCTACACCTGCCTCCCACTTCCATCCTGAATCTATGGGAACAAAGGCACGAGGGCCGCTTGAGGGCTGCTTGCTGCTCTCCCACCAAAAGATGAACCATCCTGGGTTGCCAAGGGAACTGTCTCCTCAGAAACTCTGAACAGGAAATGGAGAGGCAGAAAGCCAGGTGTGGGGAGTGAGGGCTCAGTGGGGTGCCCAGGGCCAGCAGGGGCCTGCAAGCACCCTCCCTATAGGGCTGTGTCCTGAGACCACCCCCTCTGTGAGTGGAGACACAGGCCCTGGGAGGGGGCACTTGCCCAAAATCATGTGTGGCACAGTGGAGGGGACTATGGCTAAATGAGGACTCTGCAGGCACTGGGATCCCCTCCTCTTTTTTTTTTTTAAGATTTCATTTATTTATCTTTAGAGGGGAAGGGAAGGAGAGAGGGAGAGAAACATCAATGTACGGTTGCCTTTCGTGCGTACCCTGCTGGGAACTGGCCTGCAGGGAACCGGCCTGCAACCCAGGCATGTGCCCTGACTGGGAATCGAACCTCGATTGTCTGGTTCGCGGGCCCGCGCTCAATCCACTGAGCTACACCAGCCAGGGCTGGGATACCCTCCTCTTCTATTGGGGCCCCTTGAGGCTCAGCTTCATCACCCCATATAAGCCCTTCTTTCCCCCTGGCCCTGAGGGTGTGGTGGGGGTGGGCAGTCTGTGTACACAGCATCACACAGGCACCTCTGAGGAATAAACACAGCACCTCACTACCACAGCTCTGCTCGAGCTGTCCCCCACCCCCACCCCACTCCCAGAAACCTCCCACTGAGAAGGCAAGCCCCGTGCAGCCTCCGTGTCCTTGGGCAGAATGGGCTCACTGGGAGGGTCCTGGGGCTACCAGGCACTCACTGGCCGAGATGAGGTCCATGTACTGGCAGACAGCATGGAGTAGGAGCCTCTCAAAGCTGTGGAGGAATGAGCAGTGAGTGGCCATGGGCTGGAACCAGCCACCCGAGGGCTTGCCACGCCTGTTCCCACTAGTCACCTGTTGTCCAGCATGGCTGTGTACACAGCCTGGGGGGACACGGAAAAGAACCTTAGCAGCCGCTCC